ACATAGCTAAGCATTAGCCACTGTTTGTGTTTGCTTTTTTTGCTTTGTTTTATTCTGCCTGACCAATTGCTTTATAGTGTTGTAATTTGTGTTTTGATATGTTGTAAATACCTTTGTTTTGTTTATTTTGGGCCTGCTATTACTGTTGGTATTTAAATAATGGCTTTGTAATGTTTTTACTTTGTCTTTTAAATTGGAATTATAAAATTCTTCCACATTGCAACCTACCATTTCCACTGTTGATACGGTTAAAACCCATTGGTATATTGAGTGTGTCTTACATTGGAATTGAGGATTTGTGTTTATTTATTTTGTTGTGGTTTATTTACTGCTTGCTTGAGGTAGAGTGCTTTGCTTTAAACCCAGTGAATAATCCTTAAATGCTTGGGAATCATTGAAGGTTGTACTAGCCACATAAGTATGTTTAAGACTTAATGATGGAACCTGATTGGTGTTAAGCTTTTATTTGTTTGTTTAGTGTTTTTTTTTTTTTAATAGTCTAATAAAATGTTGCTATTTTATTGTACATCAGACATCTGATGTTCATTTATTTGAACATACCTCACGGGAAAACAATACATAGTGTTAGTGTTTAACAGTCCATTCTTTATATAATTTTTAACTCAGAGGTTGCTCTCATCCCTTAATTGAGAGTGGCATAGTCGTGACATGATGTATGGTTATGAACACTATGCATAGTCGTGAACACTGTATGGTTTATGAACATTATGTATGGTTATAAACAATGTGCATAGGTCTGAACATTGCATATGGTTATGAACATTATGTATGGTTATAAACAATGTGCATAGGTCTGAACATTGCATATGGTTATGAACATTATGTATGGTTATAAACAATGTGCATAGTTCTGAACATTGCATATGGTCATTAACATTATGTATGGTTATGGTGCATAGTCATGAACACTGTGAAATGGTTAGGAACACTATGGTTATGACAATTATGCATGGTTATGAATACTACGTATGGTTATGAATGTTCTGAATAGTTATGAACACTGTGTATGGTTATGAACATTTTGTATGGTTATGAACATTGCATATACTTATGAACATCATGTATGGTTATGAACATTGTGCATAGTCAGGAACACTGCAAAATGGTTATGAACATTGTGCAGGGTTATAAGCATTGTGTATAACTATGAACACTATAGTTATGAACACTATGGTTATTAACATCATGTATGGATATGAACATTGCATATGGTTATAACCATTATGTGTAGTTATGAATGTTGCATCTGGTTATGAATGTTCTGTATGGTTAAGAACATTTTGCATGGTTATGAATCATGTATGGTTATGAACATTTTGCATGGTTATGAACTTTGTATATAGCTATTAACACAATATATGATTATCAACGTTTTGTATGGTTATTAACACTATATGGGTATGCTCTGGATACCACAAATACAAGAAAACAAATAGTTGCCGTGTAAATAATAGTGTACAAATGCACACTTAATTTTATAGTCCTATTTAAATCATATTATAGAGAACTTACCAGTAAACATAGCAGTAAACAATCTTAATATGGAATGAATTAGTCTACTGGAAAAAGATAAAATAAAAAAAGTACTTACTGAGTACTCAGTTGTATGTACCCTGCAAAATTTACTCCATTGTCACCTGTACCTGTAATCTACCATTCTCTATCACATAGACATGTATTGACTAAAGCCGTTTGGTAGTATTTGCCATTACCATGGACCTTCATAGCATTAATAGCTGAGATATACCTCATATTTATCAGAATAACTTGCAAAGTATGCACAAAGTATTTATTACTTGTAATAACATTTTTACCATTACCATTCTAAGAAAGTACATACTTGGTGTGTACTTACTTACTTATTTGTCTTTTAGTCAGATAAATAAAACATCTGTTGTTGTCAGCATTAAATGTATTTAATCTCTACATAAAAGGAAATGGCAATCAGGACACGTTTCGTTTAATAATGTCATTAATTAAAAATATCCTCCAGGCTGCTGTGATGAGGTCACTGAGAATGGCTCCTCCTCTTCCTCTGATCTTCCTGCTCATGATTGTTGGTGAGTCAGTGTTTGTTGTGGTTTGTGGTTTCTCTCAGAATCAGCTCAGTGTTGTAGAGGAGCTGCTGGAGTTAGAGAGGAGAGAAGTGAAGCTGTAAGCTACAGTAACTCTGACTGTCTTATGGGCTCCAGACTCTGTAATCAGCTCTTTCATGCATCATATGTTTCAGGAGCTTTTGGAACAGAGTGGAGTGTGAATTACAACCAGCAGGAAATATGTGCTTTAAATGGATCCACAGTGTTTATGAATGGAACTTATACTCACCCAGAAAATCTTACAGTGAATGAGACTTTTTGGGGCATACACACAGTTAAGGGTGTGGAACCGACTGATCTGATTAAAGACCCAGATTATTCAGGCAGAGTTGAGTATTTAACTGATGGGCAGAAACACTTCTCCTCAAACTGAGTGACGTAGTGAAGAAGGATGAACAGGAGTTTGCTTTCAGAATCATAACAAATGTAGAAAAAGAAAAATGGGTGGGTGCACCTGGAGTTCAGCTCAGAGTTACAGGTGAGTTAATCATCCCATTGTCCAGCTATAAGACACAGCTCTGGTTTCAGAGTAATGTTTCTTATTCATGACTGCTCTAGAATATTCATGTTGTTTTTCATCACTGATTTTATTAATCTGCTCTAATGATGTTCAGCTTCTGTTCTGATTCACTCCTACATCATTTTATCTGTTCTTACACCTGATCAGGGTCCTGCTACATCTGGCATAAAGCTAACATCACATTCCACCATAACAACATCATTCCAACAGTCAAACATGGTGTGGTGGTAGTGTGATGGTCTTGGGATCATTTGCTTTGCTATACCTTGATCATTTTCTTTTTGATCCTTTCCATGTCAAATCATGGAAAACTCCTTAAATTCCTTGTTACATACTAGAGCTTTGTTACTAAATATCTATAGTGACTTCAGCGCAAAATGGCTGAGCTATCCTTAGGTTACAGAAATCAGTGAGATGATATTCAGTAAATAATTCCTCTATACTTTGTTCATATATATTGGTCCATGGAGAAATTGCTTTGTTTACCGGAACATACTATACATTGTTTTTTAACCATAGTAGTTCAGTAGAAGTTATGATTCAGTACCCATAATATTGAAATAATTTTTGTAAGTTTAGTAACCTATGAATTAGCTTAGACAATTAGTGAAATGTTAATGAGGTATATGTATTAGTCATCAATCATTGATTTGTTGATATATAGATTTGTGATTTATCATATTTGTTGGTTAATATATAATGATTTGATGCTGTATCTATTAAATTCTATTAGATTTCTCCTTTGAGTGAATATGAATGCACAAAGCATTCTTTTCTAACATTGTAATTTTAACATTATGAAGCTATTTATATTCTTACCAGTACACTCTCTGAAAAAGGTGCTAAATGACGAAGTTGTATTGACTCCACACACTCTGCTGTACCACCAGGCTTTATATTTTAGGATTATCTTTACAATGATTAGCTTATGAAAATGTATGAATAATCATGTTTCTCCTGTGAAACCACAACAACAACAAAACAACAACAACAACAAAACAACAAAACAACAATAATAATAATTATAATAATAAGAAACACCGTTGAACCTTAAGACTGTTCTTGTACATTTGAGTAAACATTTACATTGTTTGTACCTTGATGAACAAAAATGTACCTGTGCAATATCTTTCTTTCTGACAGGGTAATTCAGTGTAATTCTGCCATTGCACCTCCTGCTGAACCACCAACTCCACCAGTGGGCACAACCGTTGTCTTATGAGCCTGCTTTTGTGTTATTAGCTTACTCTGCAGAAGAAAATGCACAAATTAGGCTGTGCTTAATGCAAATTACACACTATATGGACAAAAGTACAGGCAAACACCTCTTAATCATAGAATTCAAGTGTTTCATTCAGTCGCATTGCCAGAGGTGTTTAAAATCAAGCACCTAGCCATGCAGCCTGCCTTTACATACATTAGTGAAAGAATGGGTTGTTCTAAAGAGCTTTATGAATTTGAGCATGGTACTGTCACCTTTGCAACAAGTGAGTTCACGAAATATCTTCCCCCATAGACATTCCATGTTAAACTGTGAGTGGGATTATTAAAATGTAAAAGGGGGTTTAGGAACCACAGAAACTCAGCCATGAAGTGTCAGACCATGTAAAGTTAAAGAGGAGGTCGCTGAGTGCTGAGGAACATAGAGCACAAAAGTCAGCAACGCTCTGCTGACTCAATAACTGCCAATAAGAATAACTGAGGTCTAAACCTCTGGCATCAATATCAGCACAGAATCTTCATGGCAAGGGTTTCCATGGGCGAGCAGCTTCATGCAAGCCTTACATGCATGCAAGTGTAAAGCACACTGGACTCTGGAGCAGTGAAAATATATTCTGTTGCACCAATTCACAATTTGTTTCATCATAGTATAGTGGTTTCCTGAATCAGTTCCCTGATTAGTTCTAACATCATTCAGGACCATCAAATCTGTGCTTGTTTCCACGTAACTTTATTAAATAAGGGTGACACTTTTTATAGCTTTTCTCTCCTAATCTGATTGTCCTCTTATTGTCGTAGAGCTCCATGTGGAAACTCCTGAAGAAGTCACAGAGGGAGAAACAGCAAATCTGACATGTAAAACCACCTGCAGTCTGACTGACCCAACATTCATCTGGTACAAAAATGGATGTCCTTTAACCACAAAAACCATCAAGAACAACCAGCTCCACCTGCAGACAGTCAGCAGTGAGGATGCAGGCAGTTATAGCTGTGCTGTAAGAGGAAATCAACATCTCCACTCTGCTGCTCAGAACCTCATAGTCAGATGTGAGTTTTCACTGCATTTCTAAATGATTGGTATCTCAACGCACAGGAGAAATTGATAAATATCTCTCAGTTAACCTAAAGCATTAGTAATACCAATGATAACCAAAGCAATTTGTAACTGCAATTACCGAAAACTGTGATCTTTACAAAAATCATAACATGTATCTCTAGATCCTCCAAAGAGTGTCTCAGTGTCCATCAGTCCCTTTGGTGAAATAGTGGAGGGCAGTTCAGTGACTCTGACCTGCAGCAGTGATGCAAACCCACCTGTGAAGATCTACACCTGGTTTAAAGGATCAACATCAGTAGGAAAAGGAAAAATCTACAGCATTCCCAACATCAGATCTGAGGACAGTGGAGAATACACATGCCAGAGTTGGAATGAACATGGAGAGAGAAGATCCACTGCTGTGCAGATTAATGTTACATGTAAGTTAATGTTGAGGTATTGAGTTAACTTCAACTGAAACTCAGTAAACACTAAAATAAATTTCTTTTTAATTTTTTCTTCTGTTGTAGATCCTCCAAAGAGCGTCTCCGTGTCCATCAGTCCTTCTGGTGAAATAGTGGAGGGCAGTTCAGTGACTCTGACCTGCAGCAGTGATGGAAACCCACCTGTGAAGATCTACACCTGGTTTAAAGAAGGTGGAACCTCACCTGTAGGATCTGTACACAGTTACAGCATCAACAGCATCACTGCTGACCACACTGGACTGTACTACTGTGAAGCTCAGAATGAACATGGAGCTCTGAATGGAACTGTGATGGTCACTGTTAAGAGTAGGTGGTCAGTAATAAGAGAAATACTATATTTCACTGTCCACTTTTCAAATAATGACAGATGAAATTGTTATAATTGATCTTTTCTGTAGGTCAGAGTTTGTCTGCAGTCTGGATTGCAGTGGGAGGAGGAAGCATTGTCCTCATTATCATCTTAACCTGCATCTGCGCGTCAGTAAAATATAGCAAAACACTTTCTGCAATGCAACAAAATGATCTATTTGACTTAAAATGATTTTGACTAATTAGAATGTATCCATTGTTTTTTGCTGTTTGCATAGGATGAATAAAAGAGCTGCTAGAACTGATCACACCGAGACAAAACCAGTAAGGCTTCAACCCAAATGACCACAAAAAGCAATTCTGTCCACTAGTCACTGGCAGTTTTCATCGTTTCTTGTTTGAAAACCACATAAAAGAGCATTCAAATCTCTTTACATTAGACATATAAACTGTTCCCTATGAATGCTTCACTCTCAGGATGATGTTCTCTACACCACCGTTACACACAGCACATCTAGACCTGTACAGGCTGCTGCTGCTTCTGCTGACTCTGGAGCAGCAGGGGGACCCCACTATGACCATGTTAAATTCCACCACGCACTGCTGCCACTGGGTGAGTTTAACTGAGCTTTTATATTAAGCTTTCCAGAGAAACCTTGTTTAAGAAGAGAGAAAATTAAAGTTTTCTTTAAGCACCTTTATTGGATTTCCAGTGTTATATTAGCCCCAATCTAGCAATAGTGTGCAGTGTGCATTCCCCTCTCCAAACTTTCACTTGCTGGGTTCTTTAGACATTGGATCAAGATTGTTCAGTATAAGCTGTTAATGTATAATGGATTAAATATTAAAATATGCAGAAATATGTTTTAGCTGCAGCTGCTGTTTTGTCAGAAAAAGGTCTCTGGACTGTTTGACTAACTCAGTTCTCATCTCAGCATCATCTGCTGGATAAAAACTGTGTTTGTGTAGTTAAATAAATGTAGTGTAGTGGTGAACATGTTTTTTGGAGAAGTAAGTTTTTGTTTGGTCTTACCTATTTTAAACCTGCTTATTTTTTAGAAATTAAAGGTTAAAGTTTCACCTTCTTTGTTTTATAGGTCAACAATTCAGAATGTGGAAGATTCCTCAGTGATTTACAGCACAGTAAGAGAATATTAGATCTGCTGAAACCTGCTATACAGAGAGATAGAGAGAGAGAGGAGAGGAGGAGAGAGAGAGAGAGAGAGAGAGAGAGCGCTTTGGTATAAATGAACTTTAAGTGTTGACCTGTTCTTTGTTATTCCTGTGCATGAAACTGAAGTCTCAGTATTAAAGAGGATTAAAAGATTAAAGTTTATTATTTCATTGTTTTTATTTTCACTTCTAGTAAATATCATATTATTAGTTCGCTTAGATGTATTTGAAACAGAAATCTTAATTTTCCCCCAGTTATTTTTTTTTAGCATTTTTTTTCTTTATCTGTGTCTTAAACTTATACAGTAAGCTGTGTTTTATTTGATGATCTTTTTTATTGTCATTCTGTATTATGTATTTTTAACAGCCATATATTTCTCTGGGGATTTATTAAGTTTTATTTTTACTATTTTGAGATATGAACTCGGACTTACTATTTAAAGTCTGACTTCTTGGGATTTGAATGTTTGTTTGATTTCTGTGAATAAAGGCTGCTTTATTAATTAAACTTTTATTTATAGCAGTTCATTGATTTCCATTTTGTAAACACTGTCAGATTAATTTAATCATTTTACAATGTCTGAAATCCTTAGTAACTCTTGATATAAGTTCATGGTGTTACACTGAGACCAATGGGATACTAATTTGTGTAATATACACCAAAATGATGCCAACAGAGCACTAAATTGGACCTGCTAATGTGCTTTATGTATTTCCCAACACACTTAATGAGAGTAAAAATACAATGTAAATTTAATAAAATAATAAAATGTAAGTTTAACACACTATGTACTAACCCGAGATGAAGAAGGACACTAAAGGCCGGCAGGACAGTTACAGCAAGAATTGTGCTTTAGTTTTCACACAGAACACAAAACAAAAACCATAATTCTGTGTACGGGACACTTTTCAGTGGATTCTAACTAGATTTTTCAGATCTTTTCTCACACAACAACTTTTCAGCCTTTTTTTCAGCTGTTTCTGGTCATCCCTCCCTCTTCTTTCTTTCTCTTTCTTCTCTGCTCCTTTTTTAAGGTGTCCACTCTACTAAAGCCCATATAGCATCAGTGTTTCATTAAGGGCAGTGTGAGCAGCTGAGCTGAGACAGAAAGACGGTGCTCATTGTTCCACCTCCCCGTCACCGCCCACCTCCACACCTCTAAGATTTCTATTTACTTTTCTGTCATTACAAATCTCCACCTCTAGAGGGCAGCAACCAGTGAACCACTTCCTCCTAAATGTTGATTCATAGTAGATAATGATCTGAGGTCAGTTTCTCTGTTTTTGATCTGGTGGGTAAAGGTGGTCATTAGAGAGCAGCTCAGTGATTCTGTTTCAGGCTAAAGGATGTTCTACCAGATCTTTTATCAGAGCCCCGTTTCAGTTGCATCACTGGAACTGAAGTCTGAACAACTGTATTGAATAATGAATACGTTGAATACATATCCGTCTGTAGGTCATTACAGAGTGTTAGAGCTCCCCCTACAGGCCAATATGGAATACTTCCACTGCATGTTGTAGGTCAGTGGTTTTGGTCCAAGACCAACTACACTGCACAGTTTCATCTGTGCTCTACTTCCAAACAGATTCATGAGCATTTCATGAGTACCTCAGGAGCTGGACTAATTGCACTGATTTGTGTCAGATGGCTATTATTCAACTTCTGACCAATGACACAAATCAGTCAATTAGCTGCACTGTCAGTACAATCAAAACAGTTTTAAGATGTTTCACATGCAAAATGTGTGTTCAGTATTTTTGGCACAGACAGCTAATCAAATAAAATGTTCCATTCATTTAAAATTATGACATGGTCACAAATCCTGGTTCAGACTCTAATCTCAGCAAGTCTTGTCATGTTATGTCAAGTTGTGAAATTACATGCTGTAATAGATACAATTTTTATACTCTGAACCATGTAAATGCTCCCTCTTAGTTGTGGTCACATTGTTCCTTACACTGTAATAAGGTGACTGGAAAACAGTGTTATTCAAAACTCCTTCTCTAGATGGCAGTGTAGATCTAAGGTTTATGGGATGTAGCTGTGTAAAGGTGACAGTGCTGTCCAAGGTGCTGTTAAAAGATCCTGTTTTCCATCAGTTAATCAATTTGATCAAAATGATTTGTTTCATTCAGTAATAGTTCTTAGTGTCTGTGATAACCATGTAGTAACATATTAACAATACATGTAACAATAGTGTTACCACTGGTGATATATTCACTGTTACAGACTCATGTATTTACACATGTGTATCTACTTCAGTTGTATCCTCAACTATTATGTAAATAATTAATAATAATTATGTTGTATTATTCTACCCTAAAAGCTGGTCTGGATATAAATAAATGTCCAGTGGGTCCTCATTAAAAAAGAGAACACATGGAAATCATGTAGGTGAAATTTTATGGAGGAGCTTTTTCTTTTGAATTCATCGGCAACATAAATTTACACAGTGAAAATCCCCAATTTAACCAGCAGGCAGAACAGCGCCATCTTCATGTCAGTTTACAAACTGCAGACAGAGACAATCACACCAGTGATAATCAAACCCTGCTGTCACTTAAAGTGTCAGAACAGCTCAGACAGCAGGTGAAACAGCAACATCAGTGTAGCTGAAGTTTTGAACAGTTTTTTCTGACATTTTTCCAGGTTTGAAGAAGAAAATGTGTCCCGGTTACAGTGATTATTGGGCAGGTTTTGCTGCTGAATTCAACTCTTACATTTACTCGCTCTCTCACTATCTGAGGTCTAAAAGACTTAATTTCTGCTCACATAGTAATAGATGACATTTGGGATTCCCTCAAATTTCATGGCCAAGTCAGTGAAAGCTTGTTAAAAAACATACTGAAACGGGCAGTAGATCAGTCACTCTGATGATGTTGATTCTATCAGCTGGGTAACACTGTACTGAGATCAGCACTGATAAACACACCAGTGATCATTACTGCTTCATACAGTAGCAGGAGAAGAGGAGGAGCTGGATAAAGTCCTACATCATTACATGCATAATATCAATAAACTTTAACATTAGACATGTAAAACAGAAACATAATATTTTCACTGATAGTACAGAAACATCTCAGACACTCTTTCTGCAGCAAAGAACGTCACATACATCCTACAAGAGGAAACACAGTGCAACAGTTAAATGTGTTAATCACATGGTTATCAGCTCAGTGCTGTTTCTGTTCTCACTATTCATCATTTGGACATTGGAGATGAGCCTCGTTACAGAACGGTAACATTGTTTGTTTCTTTAATTCCGAGTATTGTTAGTAGTTTATCAAACATATTGTAGCTTAAAGTACACTGTACTCTGTTAAAAATCATTTTTATTTAACTTTGCTCTCATTATACATGTACAGGGTATAGTATAACGAAACATTTGGGCCACTTCTCTGGTGCATGAAAATTATGAAAGGACAAGTTCACTTGTACTAGAGGGACAACAAACACTATATATACACAATAAGGGCAATACAGGTAGAAGAAATGCAGAATAAAGACACAGAATTTGTGAATGGAGCACAGACAGTGTGTACAACAGATGTGCAAACTGTGCAAAATATGTGGAGCATTCTTAGAAGTAGATCCAGTTTGTTAAATACACAGTAAACTAAGTAATACATGTTTGTTAAATATACAGTAAACAAAGTAATAAAGTGTTTATCGCATATATATATACATAGAAACTTGTTGAAATTGGTGACTTTGTCTCCAATATGGTCTGATATCTCATCCACAATGGTAGCAGGTAGAACAGGAAGTGTCTGTGGTGTGTGGGGTCTGAGGAGATACTGCTGGCTTTCCTCAAATTTCTTTGATTGTGAATGTCCGGTATGGGTGGGAGGACAGCTACTGTGATGGGCAGTTTTCACCACCCTTTGTAGGGCCTTCCTTTCCACAGCAGTGGAGCTGCCATACCAGACTGTGATGCAGCTCTTTAGAATGCTCTCCACTGTGGACCTGTAGAAGTTGCAGAGGAGCTGATGTGGCATGTTGACTCTCCTCAGCCTCCTGATGAAATGATGGTGTTGTTTAGCTTTTCTGATGAGGTGTGATGTGTTGAGTGACAGGGTGAGACCCTCCATGGTCCCTTCAATGCTCAGAGCTGTGTGCACTTTGCTCTACTTCCTGAAATTAACAATCATCTAGTTGGTTTTTCTTGCATGGAAGGAAGAGACTGTTGTTGTTGCACCACTCTGTGAGAAGTTTCACCTCCTCTCTCTACTCCTCCATGTTCTTATTAATGAGGTCCACTACTGTTGTATCATCAGCTGGTTGGCACTTGTTTTAGAACCCATCCTGGGATGCCATTGGGTCTGGTCGCTTTGCATGTGTGCACTCTTAACAGAGCTCTCCTCACCTCATCTGTAGACAGTGTGAGTACCTTCTCTTCTACAGAATGATCGGAGGCTTCACTGGTCAGCTAAGCTCAGTTCATTTTCAAGCAAGAAGATAGAAAAGGAGGTGGGCTCAGTTTGGAGGGAGGCATCTGTGGCTGATGAGCAGCTAAATTTGCTCTTATAGTCATTCACTGCCTGTATTTCCTGACACATGCAGAGAGTTGTTGACAAAGTCAGCTTACATATTTGTGCTATATGCATTCTTGGCAACCCTGATGGCAGCTTTCAGATTTTGTCTGGCTGCTCTCAGATCTTTCATGTTACCATATCTGAGGGCTGCATCATATGCATTTAACAAAAGAGTGGACTTCCCTGTTTATCTAGGGTTTTTGGTTTGTCAGAGTGCAAATGCTCTTTGTTTGGACTAAATCTTCCACACATTTCCTGATGAATACAAAGAAACATGTGACATACTCATTCACATCTTCCTGAGAGCCTGTGGTGGCGGATGTACTTAAAACCTGTTTCAGGCAATGCTGGTATGTTATAACACTGTGATACTTTCAATTCTCTTGGTACATAAAACAGGCAGCATCATTTAGCCCTTTTAGCAGAATTGCAGAGTCTGGCATGCTGCAGTGGAGCCAGGTTTCAAAAAACATGAAAATGTAGTTATTTTCCAGGAAGCAAACATTTGCCAGTAGTAGGCTGGGCCCTCTGGTCAGCTTGATTCGAGGAAAAACTATGACTGACTCCAGGCATTCAGCTTGAACATTGAGTAGTGCAGTGCAGTCCAGTTGTAGGTTAAGTGTTTAAACTTTGCATTAATTGCACTAACAAAGCACATTTCCTGCTGTAGCAAAGACGATCACATGCATCCTGTGAGATGAAACACCATTTTAACCAGCCTGATTTTTTTTATTAAGTGCAGCAGCTTAAATGTGTTAACCACATTAGTTTAACATCTCAGTGCTGCCTCTGTTCTCTTTATCATTTGTACAGTAACAATGAGCCTTGTTACAGAACAGTAAGATGTTTTCTTTAGTTTTGAAAATTTTAGCTCTTTATGAGAAAGAATATAGCACAGGCTAGGCATTTATGAGTTTAGTATTTGGGCATGTGTACTGAAATTTCTGAAAATTGTTTCAACCGACAATGTTTCAGAAAATCTCAACACATATTAAAGAACTACAGTTTAACTTATTTTTTCTAAATTAAGTTATATTAGTGCATGAGGAAATAAATAGGAAGCTTTAATCCTTCACTGTGAGGGGAGAATAACTCCAAATGAAGACAGTGATCCATGTTTTCCAATATAGGCTTTGTCCTGGTCTTAAATTCTCAGAGATGTCTAAGCAACACCTATTGCTAAACCAGTCATGTTAATTATATAGTAAGTTTTTGTTCTTTGCAGTCAGGTTACCATAAGACATAGTAACTGATAAACAATTATTGATTAGTTACAACACAGACATTGTTGTGTCGGCATTAAAAGCATTTCATTTCTAAAGGAAGTTGGATGAAGATCTGGAAACATTTCATCTAATAATGTCTTTAACTAAAAATACCTTCCAGGCTGCTGTGATGAGGTCATTGAGAATGGCTCCTCCTCTTCCTCTGATCTTTCTACTCATGATCGTTGGTGAGTCAGTGTTTGTTGGTTTGTGGTTTCTCTCAGAATCAGCTCAGTGTTGTAGAGAAGCTGCTGGAGTTAGAGAGGAGAGAAGTGAAGCTGTAAGCTACAGTAACTCTGACTGTCTTATGGGCTCCAGACTCTGTAATCAGCTCTTTCATGCATCATATGTTTCAGGAGCTTTTGGAGCAGAGTGGAGTGTGAAGTACAACCAACAGGAAATATGTGCTTTAAAAGGATCCACAGTTTTTATGAACGGAACTTATACTCATCCAGAGCGTCTTACAGTGACAGAGACTTTTTGGGACATAGATCTAGTTCAGGGTGTGGAGCCGACTGATTTGTCTGAAGACCCAGATTATTCAGGCAGAGTTGAGTGTTTAACTGATGAACAGAAACACTTCTCCCTCAAACTGAGTGATGTAATGAAGAAGGATGAACATCAGTACTGTTTCAGAATCATAACAAATGAAGAAAAAGAAAAATGGGCAGCTACACCTGGAGTTCAGCTCAGAGTTACAGGTGAGTTAATCATCCCATTGTCCAGCTATAAGACACAGCTCTGGTTTCAGAGTAATGTTTCTTATTCATGACTGCTCTGAATATTCATGTTGTTTTATCATCACTGATTTTATTAATCTGCTCTAATGATGTTCAGCTTCTGTTCTGATTCACTCCTACAACATTTTCTCTGTTCTTACACCTGATTCAGTTTATCTGCTTATTTTCCTTTCAACCACATCCATGTCAAATCATGGAAAGCATTAATTTGTTACATATATAAACACTCACAAAATGTTATGATCCAACTCATGTCTGGTAGAAGTGTGCAGAAATCTGGGTGTAATATTTAAAAGGCCTGATTTGGATTACTGTTTATAACATCAATACAATATATTTTTTACATATACAATGATATAAACAAATCCTTCATCTACAGTGGTGCTTGAAACTTTTTATATTTCTGCATAAATTTGAACTAAAAGTGCCTCAGACCTTCACACAAGTCCTAAAAGCAGAAAAAGAGAATCAAATTAAACAAATGAGACAAACATATTATACTTGGTCATTTACTTATTGAGGAAAATGATTCAATACTACAGATCTGTGAGAGAGAGAAGTCTGTCATCCTTTGCTTTCAGTATCTGGTGTGACACCCTTGTGCAGCAATAACTGCAGTTAAACATTTCCGGTAACTGTTGATTAGTCCTGCAAATCAGATTGGTGGAATTTTAGCCATCTGTGCAAAACAGCTTCAACTGTGTTATGTAGGTGGGTTTCCTCCCACGAACTAATTCTTCAGGTCCTCCCCCATCATTTCTATAGGATTAAGGTCAGGAATTTAACTTGGTCATTCCAAAACATTATTTTTATTCTGCTTTAAACATTCTTTGGTAGAGTTTCAGCTCACAAACAGATGTCCTGATATTTTCCTTTAGAATTTGCTGGTACAATTCAGAGTTCGTTGTTCCAGTAATGATGGAAAGCTGTCCTGGCCCAAATGCAGCAAGATAGGATAAGGTTGTTATGCTGAAATGCAGTGTTTTCCTTTCTCCAAACAATAAATGCTTCTCAATTTTAGTCTCATTCATCTACAAAACATTGTTCCAGTAGCCTTCTGACTTGTGCATATGATCTTTAGCAAACTGCAGATGGGAAGAAATGTTCTTTTTGGAGAGCAGTGACTTTCTCCTTGCAACCCTGCCATGCACACCACTGTTGCTCAGTGTTCTTTTGATGGTGGACTCATAAACATTAACATTAGCCTCTATGAGACAAGTCTTTAGCTGCTTAGAAGTCACCCTGGGTTCCTTTGTGACCTTGTAGACTATGACATGCCATGCACTCCTGGGGAGCGTAACAGTGACCTTGAACTCCCTCCATTTGTACATAATCTGTCTGACTGTGGATTGATGGAGACTCTTTAGAGATGGTTTTGAAACTTTTTCCAGACTGATGACCATCAGCAACTCTTCTTCTGAGGTCCTCAGAAATCTATTTGTGCCATGATATGCTTCCACAAATGTGTTTTGAGGATCAGACTGTGATAGATCTCTGTTCTTTAAATAAAACAGGGTGGTCACTCACATCTGATAGCCATTCCATTGATTGAAAACACCTGACTTTAATTTTACTTTCAAATTATCTGTTAATCCTAAAGATTCACACACTTTTGCCACTCACAGATCTGTAATATTAGATTTTTGTCCTCAAAAATTAAATAATCAAGTCTGATATTTTTGAAGATTTCGGTCAAACTTATGCAGAAATATAGAAAAGGGTTCACAAATTGTCAAGCACCACTATACTACAGTAGAAGCTCTTATATTACACTGTTGTCACTCAGTGTTTTATAAAACATAATCACACTCCAAAATCAAATCACTTTTCCATCTGAAAAATGGTTATATTTTGTTGATTTCACATTATATTTGTTTCAACTGTTGTGAACTTAAGACTATCAGTATATTCAATCTTTGACCAGTAGGGGGAACAGTGGACCTGAGGCTCAAACCTAAATTCAGCTATGATCCATGATCTGCTGAAGATTTTGTTTTATTGGCTCGCTATCAAAACATCTACAGAAATTTGGGCACATGTTATGAAGATTGCATATTTATGAGGCAAATTGGTGGTGTTGCCTGTTGCAAATGATATCTAAATAAGGTACTCACTTGTTTACTTGCACTGAAGCTGATTTATCAATTGCACCCAAATCACTATTTTTTTTTCATCTGCCTACAACAGTTTCCTGAATGAGAAGTACAGAGGATCATACATCATTCAGGACTAATAAATCTGCCCTTGTTTATACACTCATTTCTAACTATGAAAAATAAAGTCCACTGTCTTTACAGCTTTTCTCTTCTAATCTGATGGTCCTCTTATTGTCTTAGAGCTCCATGTAGAAACTCCTGAAGAAGTGACAGAGGGAGAAACAGCAGATCTGACATGTAAAACCACCTGCAATCTGACTGACCCAACATTCATCTGGTACAAAAATGGACGTCCTTTAACCACAAAGACCATCAAGAACAACCAGCTCCACCTGCAGACAGTCAGCAGTGAGGATGCAGGCAGTTATAGCTGTGCTGTAAGAGGACATCAACTTAACTCTACTGCTCACAACCTCAGAGTCAGATGTAAGTCATGCCATTTTTTTCCCAAAGCAAACCAAAGTAGAACTTATCAAATGTATCCGAGCTTTTTTGGGGCTTGGTTAACTGTTTGTTGTCTTATTTGATTGGAGCATTTGTAGAACCTAAGCATAATATTCAACTTTGTAAATAATGTTTCAGATTTATGCAAACCTGTATAACAAACAAATTAACTGATTATTTAATTATGTTTAGATCCCCCAAAGAATGTCTCAGTGTCCATCAGTCCCTCTGGTGAAATAGTGGAGGGCAGTTCAGTGACTCTGACCTGCAGCAGTGATGCAAACCCACCTGTGAAGAACTACACCTGGTTTAAGGGATCAACATCAGTAGAAGAAGGAAAATCCCACAACATTCCCAAAATCAGATCTGAGGACAGTGGAGAATACACATGCCAGAGTCGTAATGAACATGGAGAGAGAAACTCCAACGCTGTGCAGATTAATGTTACATGTAAGTTAATGTTTAAGCATTAACCCCTTAAAATCTTTATTACTCAGACTTATTAAAGCAATAAGCCACGAGAGGCCATGCATTTTCCTGCAATTTTATCATGGGTAAAGGTGTTCTGAGGCACAACGTGAAGTGGAGTGCCTAAAACTCCCTTCCATGGGATAAAATGTTGTAGAACGGTGACCAACATAAAGTGATAAAATACACAGTTTAGGTAGTTCCTTTAGAGTATGATATTGTTTCCAAGCAAACATAGACTGCTGAATAAGGAGAACGTCGGTCACCCATCACTGTTTATTGCAGTCATTTCATCATTTTTTATTATTATTTTTTCTTTTTTTTACTTTTTTATATAACAATGAACATATGATCACAGCACAGTTTAGTAGAAAAACGTTCACTTTGTAAGTACATTTTGGTCTTGAAATTAGCACCCCGAGTCTTATTTAGCACCAATCCAGCAGCAGCCGTCTTCTTGTGCTGGGGCTGAATCTCAAATGGCTCCCTACATAGTGCACGATGTAAGGATTTAAATACTGGATTCCTCGCCCCAGTGGTGCAAATAATTGCTAAGAAATAGTCATTTGGGACTCAGCCACATCCATACTCAATAAATGATGCACTATTTGGCTGTAGAGGCTTGAAGCACACTATTTAGGAAATACAGAGCCATTTGGGATTCAGCCTGGGTTTGACACTACTTCTGACTGAAACACAAACATTTGCAGTGTGCAATCCATTCTAGTGATATCTATGTTCATACTGCTATTTTACAGTTCATTATACAGAAAGTACTTTAATCTAAGCCTGTGATAGTAATGATGGAGATGTTTAGGGTGTTGTCTATCTTTTTTCTTTTAGCCTGTTAGCTAGCTGACCAGCCTAAATCTAGTTAGAAACTTAAGTTGTGAGCACCTCAGTTTAAACAAACAATGGATTCCTAGTTCATTAGTATATTTGCTGCTCTATGCAAGCAGCATTAGAGTCAGAGCTTAGACCATTAGCAACATTAGAGTTTTTTCCAGGCCTTAGTAATATACAATATGTATAGTGATATACAATTCATTGCTGTGAGGCAGACATAGGTGTGCGTATATCATGGGTTTTACAACGGCTCCAAATACAGCTCAGCAAATCAGATTTTAGGACCAGAGCTATCCGTTTTGTAATATACAGTAAATACACAGCCAATCTGGTTGAGCTACTCTCATGTAACAGAAGTGTGTAATAAAACTTTGGGCCTGGTGGTGGACCCTGGCCATTTAAGAGGTAAACTTGAATGTAGCTGAAACTTAGTGAACATTAAGATCTTATATCTTTTAAAATTTTAATCTGTTGTAGATCCTCCAAAGAGTGTCTCAGTGTCCATCAGTCCCTCTGGTGAAATAGTGGAGGGCAGTTCAGTGACTCTGACCTGCAGCAGTGATGCAAACCCACCTGTGAAGAACTACACCTGGTTTAAGGGATCAACATCAGTAGGCAAAGAAAAAAATTACAGCATTCCCAACATCAGATCTGAGGACAGTGGAGAATACACATGCCAGAGTCGGAATGATAATGGACAGAGGAACTCCACTGCTGTGCAGATTAATGTTACATGTAAGTCAATGTTTAAGCATTAACCCCTTAAAATCTTTATTATTCAGGCTTATTAAAGCAATAAGCCACGAGAGGCCAGGCATGTTACTGCAAGTTTATCATGGCTAAAGGTGTTCTTAGGCACAATGTGGAGTGCCTAAAACTCCCTTCCATGTGATTAAAATGTAATAGAATTGTGGCCAACATAAAGTGATAAAATACACAGTTTTTTTCAGAAAATAACTTAAGGAAAATTTAGTTCCTTTAGAGTACGATATTGTTTCCAAGCAAACATAGACTGCTGAATAAGGAGAACGTCGGTCACCCATCACTATTTTTTGCAGTCATTTCATCATGTTTTATTTTTTTTTTACTTTTTTATATAACAATGAACATAAGATAACAGCACAGTTTAGTAGAAAAACTTGCACTTTATAAGTACATTTGTCACCAAATTAGCACCCCGAGTCTTATTTAGCACCAATCCAGCGGATTAGGGATCAACATCAGTAGGAAAAGGAAAAACCTACAGCATTCCCAACATCAGATCTTAGTAAACACTAAAATATTATTTCTTTTAATTTTTTTTCTTTTGTTGAAGATCATCCAAAGAGTGTATCAGTTTCCATCAGTCCCTCCGCTGCTTTTAGATTACCTGGGGCTTTAATTCATTCTGAATAAATTTATAATTACAAATTTTGCATTAATATGTAAGATTAAAATGGATTAAATATTTAAATGTATATTCAAAGGTTCTTCATTTACAGCTAAGGGCATATTTTCTACTGATGTGTTGATAATCATCTCAATAAAACATTAAATGAAAGCTTCTTAGGCAAATCTAATGAAATTCAATGTTTACTTAAATGGTAACCTTTACTTCACAGTAAAGAGTCAGTTTATCTCACTCTTCACTTAAGGTCACAGCACAGTGTTATGAGGTGTAATACACAAAGAAAAGTGCTCTGGAAATGCTTATTTTTTATTATTTATGATTTTTAAAGAACATCCAGTTATTTAGCTAGTTATTACATTCAGAAGTTTGTTTACAGCTATTTTCTTGATAAGGTATGATAAGATCACAATAATAGAAACATAGAATGATGTGCACAAGATTTTGATGGATTATTCACTTAACAAAGGCTCATGTCAAAAAACACAAAACCATAAGCAGAGTCAAAAACAGTTCAAAGTACTAATAAAACCATGACAGATTTAACAACCTAACAGAAATACCAAAGAGAATTCACAAGGGCAAAGTGCAAGAGTTCAGATGTAAATCCAAGTCAACCATAAATCCAGTTAATGAGGGGATACAAGGCTCAGCACACAGACACACTGGCAGTACTCTGCAGAGAGCATATGATGGTGTGGGTCATGATAAAGTGAGGGAGATGAGCTGCAGGTGAATGAGATCAAGGCATTACTAGGAAACAGTTCGGAACTCAGGTGAGGCTGACCTCTAGTGTCAAGAGTGGATATTACAGCTGACATACACAAACAAAGGTTCTGTAGAAAATGTTTATTTCATGCTAGGTATTGTTTAACATCAGCAGAGCTGAACTCAGCACTGTGACCAGTTTAACAGTGTTAGAAAAAACATTTCGATTTACAATGAAATTTCAGAGGCAGAACTTTAGGCTCTGTTTTGTTTTTTAGGCTTCATTAAGTGCTTTATCTTAGACTTTTGCTTGTCTGTTGTAGATCCTCCAAAGAATGTCTCTGTGTCCATCAGTCCCTCTGGTGAAATAGTGGAGGGCAGTTCAGTGACTCTGACCTGCAGCAGTGATGCAAACCCACCTGTGAAGAACTACACCTGGTTTAAGGGATCAACATCAGTAGGCAAAGAAAAAAATTACAGCATTCCCAACATCAGATCTGAGGACAGTGGAGAATACACATGCCAGAGTCGGAATGATAATGGAGAGAGAAACTCCACTGCTGTGTATTTAAATGTTTTCTGTATGTTATTGATGATTTATTAGTCTGTGTTTTATTTTTAGGCTCCATTTAGTGCTTTCTGATAGATTTATTTTCCTTTTTGCTTGTCTGTTGTAGATCCTCCAAAGAGTGTCTCAGTCTTCATCAGTCCCTCTGGTGAAATAGTGGAGGGCAGCTCAGTGAATCTGACCTGCAGCAGTGATGCAAACCCACCTGTGAAGAACTACACCTGGTTTAAGGGATCAACATCAGTAGGCAAAGAAAAAAATTACAGCATTCCCAACATCAGATCTGAGGACAGTGGAGAATACACATGCCAGAGTCGGAATGATAATGGACAGAGAAACTCCACTGCTGTACAGATTAATGTTACATGTAAGTTAATGTTTAAGTATTAACCCCTTAAAATCTTTATTATTCAGGCTTATTAAAGCAATAAGCCACGAGAGGCCAGGCATGTTACTGCAATTTTATCATGGGTAAAGGTGTTCTTAGGCACAATGTGGAGTGCCTAAAACTCCCTTCCATGTGATTAAAATGTAATAGAATGGTGGCCAACATAACATGATCAAATACACAGTTTTTTTCAGAAAATAACTTAAGGAAAATGTAGTTCCTTTAGAGTACGATATTGTTTCCAAGCTAACATGGACCACTGAATAAGGAGAACATCGGTCACCCATCACTGTTTATTGCAGTCATTTCATCAATTTTTATTTTTTTTTTACTTTTTATATAACAATGAACATATTATCATATGATAACAGGACAGTTTAGTAGAAAAACTTGCACTTTATCGGTACTTTTTGTCACCAAATTAGCACCCCGATTCTTATTTAGCACCAATCCAGCGGATTAGGGATCAACATCAGTGGGAAAAGGAAAAACCTACAGCATTCCCAACATCAGAGCTTAGTAAACACTAAAATATTATTTCTTTTCATTGTTTTTCTTTTGTTGAAGATCCTCCAAAGAGTGTATCAGTTTCCATCACTCGCTCCACAGCCTTTAGATTACCTGGGGCTTTAATTCATTCTGAATAAATTTATAATTACAAATTTTGCATTAATTTGTAAGATTAAAATGGATTAAATATTTAAATGTATATTCAAAGGTTCTTCATTTATAGCTAAGGGCATATTTTCTACTGATGTGTTGATAATCATCTCAATAAAACATTAAATGAAAGCTTCTTAGGCAAATCTAATGAAATTCAATGTTTACTTAAATGGTAACCTTTACTTCACAATAAAGAGTCAGTTTATCTCACTCTTCACTTAAGGGCACAGCACAGTGTTATGAGGTATAATACACAAAGAAAAGTGCTCTGGAAACACTTATTTTTTATTATTTAGGATTTTTAAATGAACATCCAGTTATTTAGCTAGTTATTATATTCAGAAGTTTGTTTGCAGCTAGGTTCTTGATAAGGTATGATAAGATCACAATAATAGAAACATAGAATGATGTGCACAAGATTTTGATGGATTATTCACTTAACAAAGGCCTCCAAATGTCAAAAATCACAAAACCAAAATAAGCAGAGTCAAAAACAGTTCAAAGTACTAATAAAACCATGATAGATTTAACAACCTAACAGAAATACCAAAGAGAATTCAAAAGGGCAAAGTGCAAGAGTTCAGATGTAAATCCAAGTCAACCATAAATCCAGTTAATGAGGAGATACAAGGCTCAGCACACAGACACACTGGCAGTACTCTGCAGAGAGCATATGATGGTGTGGGCCTGATAAAGTGAGGGAGATGAGCTGTAGGTGAATGAGATCAAGGCATTACTAGGAAACAGTTCGGAACTCAGGTGAGGCTGACCTCTAGTGTCAAGAGTGGATATTACAGCTGACATACACAAACAAAGGTTCAGTAGAAAATGTTTTTTTTATGCTAGGTATTGTTTAACATCAGCAGAGCTGAACTCAGCACTGTGACCAGTTTAACAGTGTTAGAAAAAACATTTCGATTTACAATGAAATTTCAGAGGCAGAACTTTAGGCTCTGTTTTGTTTTTTAGGCTTCATTAAGTGCTTTCTCTTAGACTTTTGCTTGTCTGTTGTAGATCCTCCAAAGAATGTCTCAGTGTCCATCAGTCCCTCTGGTGAAATAGTGGAGGGCAGTTCAGTGAACCTGACCTGCAGCAGTGATGCAAACCCACCTGTGAAGAACTACACCTGGTTTAAGGGATCAACATCAGTAGGCAAAGAAAAAAATTACAGCATTCCCAACATCAGATCTGAGGACAGTGGAGAATACACATGCCAGAGTCGGAATGATCATGGAGAGAGAAGATCCACTGCTGTGCAGATTAATGTTACATGTGAGTTGATGTTAAAGTATTAACAAGCTTAGCAGAAACTTAGTAAACACTAAAATATTATTTCTTTTCATTGTTTTTCTTTTGTTGAAGATCATCCAAAGAGTGTATCAGTTTCCATCACTCGCTCCAAAGCCTTTAGATTACCTGGGGCTTTAATTAATTCTTAATAAATTCATAATTACAAATTTTGCATTAATATGTAAGATTAAAATGGATTAAATATTTAAATATGTATATTCGAAGGTTCTTCATTTACAGAAGTACCAAAGAGAATTCAAAAGGGCAAAGTGCAAGAGTTCAGATGTAAATACAAGTAAACCATAAATCCAGTTAATGAGGGGATACAAGGCTCAGCACACAGACACACTGGCAGTACTCTGCAGAGAGCATAAATATTTAAATGTATATTTGAAGGTTCTTCATTTACAGCTAAGGGCTAATTTTCTAATGATATCTTGATAATCATCTCAATAAAACACTATTGTGCTGTCAACTGGTGTCAACCAGAGGAGGATGGGTGCCCCTTTTGAGTCTGGTTCCTCTTGAGGTTTCTTCCTCCTTTTAAGGGAGTTTTTCCTTGCCACTTTCGCCAAGGCTTGCTCACTGGGGGCGTGGACCCGGATTCTCTGTAAAGCTGCTATGTGACAACATCTGTTGTAAAAGGCGCTATATAAATAAATTTGACTTGACTTGACTAAACAAATGCTTGTTAAGCAAATCTAATGAAATACAGTGTTTACTTAAACGGTAACCTTTACTTCACAATAAAGAGTCGATTTATCTCAGTGCTCTGTTAAGCGCAGAGCACAGTGTTATGAGGCATAATACACAAAGACAAGTGCTCTGGAATGCTTTTTTTTAATTAATTATTATTATTATTATTATTATTATTATTAACATCTAGTAATTTAACCAGTTATTATATTGAGAAGTTTGCTTACAGCTATTTTCTTGATAAAGTATGATAAGAGCACAATAATAGAGAGCTAGAATGATGTGCACAAAATTTTGATGGATTATTCACTTAACAATCTCCAAATGTCAAAACACACAAAACCATGAGCAGAGTCAAAACGTTCAAAGTACTAATAAAACCATGAAAGCTTTCAAAACAGAAATACCAAAGAGAATTCAAAAGGGCGAAGTCTTTCTCTTAGACTTTTTTTTTTTTTTGCTTGTCTGTTGTAGATCCTCCAAAGAACATCTCAGTGTCCATCAGTCCCTCTGGTGATATAGTGGAGGGCAGTTCAGTGACTCTGACCTGCAGCAGTGATGCAAACCCACCTGTGAAGATCTACACCTGGTTTAAGGGATCAACATCAGTAGGAGAAGGAAAAACCTACAGCATTCCCAACATCAGATCTGAGGACAGTGGAGAATACACATGCCAGGGTCGGAATGAACATGGAGAGAGAAACTCCACTGCTGTGCAGATTAATGTTGCATGTGAGTTAAAGTATTAAGAAACTTAGTATACATTAAGATCTTATATCTTTTAAATTTTTTATCTGTTGTAGATTCTCCAAAGAATGTCTCAGTGTCCATCAGTCCTTCTGGTGAAATAGTGGAGGGCAGTTCAGTGAATCTGACCTGCAGCAGTGATGCAAACCCACCTGTGAAGATCTACACCTGGTTTAAAGAAGGTGGAACCTCACCTGTAGGCTCTGGACAGAATTACAGCATCATCAACATCACTGCTGACCACACTGGACTGTACTACTGTGAAGCTCAGAATGACCTTGCAGCTCTGAATGGAACTGTGATGGTCACTGTTAAGAGTAGGTGGTGTTTTTTAGTGTCCTCTTTTAAAACAATGTCAGACTAAAGTGATGGTGAAAATGATCTTCTCTGCAGGTCAGAGTTTGTCTGTAGTTTGGATTGCAGTGGGAGGAGGAAGCTTTCTCCTTATTACTGCCTTAATCTGCATCTGCAGGTCAGTAAATAATAAAAAAAAAATCCCACAGTATGAATAAACAACTTCTTTGCATATGTAGCAATGTATTAACAGATAACAATGATTTTGCCCTTAGAGTAATTAGAACACATTCATTGTTTTGTCCTGTTTTCACAGAATGAAGAAAAGAGCAGCTGGAACTAATCACAGTGAGCCAAAACAGGTACATAAATATTCATTACATTTAGCAGACACTCTTATCCAGACTACCTTACAAAGGCATTTTTATACACTTAGAGAATGTATCCTAGCAAGTACAATAGAGTCCAAATGACTCTTGAGCTCAGACATTGCCAGTAACAATAGCCAGTGCTGATACCTAGAAAGAAAACTACAGAATTAAGACACAGCTTTAGTGTAGTACAATAAAATACAGGAAACTTAGCCACAATCCAAATGACCACAATTCATGTCCACTAGTAGGTGACAGTTTTACTTGCAGGCTGTATTTGTTTATGATTTGAGAACCACAGAAAAGAACATATTCAAAAGAGTATGTGTCAAATAGGAGACTTTTCTGTCAGATTTTCAGAACATTAGACATTTAAACTGTTCTCCATGAACTCTTCACTCTCAGGATGATGTCCTCTACACCACCATCACACACAGCACATCCAGACCTGTACAGGCTGTTGCTTCTGCTGACTCTGGAGCTGATGATGGTCTGTATGCTACAGTCAGTATTCAGAATGATGAAGTGACCAGCACTGACCAGCAGGGGGAGCCGCAATATGCCAGTGTTACATTCCACCACCACACTGCTGCCACTGGGTGAGTTTCACTGAGCAGTTATATAAAGCTGCCCAGACAAACTTTGTTTAAGAAGAGAGAAAAGGCTTAGAAACTCATTCTGTTTCTGTTATCACCTTCATTGGATTTCCAATGTTACATTAGCACCAGGCTACTACTAGTGTGCAGTGTGCATTCCATTTCCCAAACATTCACTCACTACGTTGTTCAACCCTAGAGTAGGAACACTCAGAACTGTTTGATAAAATCTATCTGAGTGTAATAAGCAACATCAGTATAACTAAAGAGGAGTTAAGAGATTGCTGGTGGAATTCATTTAGACATTCACATATTATCCATATGGTAAAATCTAGACATGCATATCGTGTGCCCACATGATAACACTAACAGACTTAGACAGCACTCATGGCTTTAGATCATCTGGGGCTTTAATTCATTGTTAATGAATTTATAATAACAAGTTTTGCATTAATATGTAAGATTAAAATGGATTCAGTATTTAAATGTATATTCTAAAATTCTTCATTTACAGCTAAGGGCTTATTTTCTACTAATGTTTTGGTAATCATCTCAATAAAACACTAAACAAATGCTTGTTTAGCAAATCTAATGAATGTTTACTTAAACGGTAACCTTCACAATAAAGGGCCAGTTTATCTCAGTGCTCAGTTAAGGGCAGAGCACAGTGTTATGAGGCATAATACACAAAGAAAAGTGCTCTGGAAATGCCTATTTTTAAAATGTATTTATTATTATTGTAATTATTTTTAATGAACACTCAGTTATTTAGCCAGTTATTCTATTCAGAAGTTTGTTTACAGCTATGTTCTTGATAAGGTATGATAAGAACACAATAATAGAGAGCTAGAATGATGTGCACAAGACTTTGAGGGATTATTCACTTAACAAAGGCTCTCCAAATGTCACAAAACACAAAACCATAAGCAGAGTCAAAAAACAGTTCAAAATGCTAATAAAACCATGAAAGCTTTCAACAGAAATACCAAAGAGACTTCAAAAGGGCAAAGTCAGATGTAAATCCAAGTCAACCATAAATCCAGTAAATGAGGGAATACATGGCTCAGCACACAGACACACTGGCAGTACTCTGCAGAGAGCATATGATGGTGTGGGTCTTATAAAGTGAGGTAGATGAGCTGTAGGTGAATGAGATCAAGGCATTACTAGGAAACAGAACTCAGGTGAGGCTGACCTCTGGTGTGAAGGGCGGATATTATACCTGACATACACAAATAAAGGTGCTGTAGAAAATGTTTATTTCATGCTAGTTATAGTTTAATATTAGCAGAGCTGAATTCAGCACTGTGACCAGTTTAACAGTGTTAGAAAAAGCATTTAGATTTTCAGTGAAATTTCAGAGGCAGATCTTTGTTTCAGGTGCAGCTGCTGTTTTGTCAGAAAAAAGGTCTCTGGACTGTTTGAATAATTCAGTTCTCATCTCAGCATCATCTGCTGGATAAACACTGTGTTTGTGTTGTTAAATAAATGTAGTGTAGTGGAGAACATGTTTATTATAGATGTGAAAGAGTGAAGTTGTGGTTTGTTCTGATAAACTAATTTTGAACTTGTTTTTTATAGGTTTTAAAATTTAAAGTAAAGTTTTAAAGTTTGTTTTTTTTTAAAGTTTAATTTTGTAGGTCACCAACTCAGAATGTCGAAGATCTCTCAGTGATTTACAGCACAGTAAGAAAAGATTAGATCTGCTGAGAACTGCTATACAGAGAGAGAGGACTCCATGAAGAGTTGAGCTGTTCTTTGTGTGCATGAAACTGAACTGTTAGTAGTGAAGAGGATTAAAGCTTTACAGTTTAACATTTAATTGTTTTCACATTTTTTTCACTTTTTTGACACATTTTTTGGATTAGATATATTGGAAACTCATATCTTTATTTGTCTCCATTTATCTTTTTGTTAGCATTTTTAAAACTTTATCTGTGTCTTTTTTTATCTGTGTCATTGCAGTAAACAAAGTTTTATTTAGTAATCTTTTTATTGTTGTTTTTTACTTTCTTGACAGAAATATATTTCTCTGGGGATTTATTATATTTTATTTTGACTATTTTAGAGATATGAGCTCAGACTTTGTGTTATTCAAAGTCCAAATTTATGGGAATTTGGTATGATTATTTGATTTCTCTGAATAAAGACTTCTTTATTAATTAAACTCTCACGTGTAGCAGTTCATAGATTTCCATTTTGTGAACACTATCATGTTAATTTCATCAGTTTACAAAGACTGAATTCATTAGTAACTCGACAGCAGTCCCTGGTGTTACACTGAGATTAATGGGATACCAAGTTGTGTAATATACATTTAAATTATCCCAACAGAGCACAGTGTGTGAGCTGCAAATGTGCTGTATGCAATGTTTTTAATAAGAGTAAAAACATATAATGTAAAATATCAGTCTAACACACTATGTACTAACCCAGACGGAAGGACTCTAGAGGCCTAAAACCATAAATCAGAGTACCAGACACTTTTCAATGAGTTCTAACTAGATTTTTCAGTTCTTTTCTTACACACCTTTTCAGCCTTTTTTTAGCTGCTGCTGGTCATCCTTCCCTCTTCTTTTCTTCTCTTTCCTCTCCCTCCTTTTAAACGGTGCCCACTCTGCCAAAGCCCAACCAGTGTCAGTGTCTTATTAATGGCAGTCTGAGCACCTGAGCTGAGAGAGAAAGATGGAGCTCACTGCTCCGCCTCCCCATCACCGCCCACTTCCCATCTTGGTCACTTCCTCATGTGGCAGAAACCCACGGCTAACCCGCTGTCTCTTTCATTTGGATTAGTGACCAGCCAAACACTTCCTCCTAAATGTTGATCCTGAGTAGAAGATGATCTGAGGTCAGTTCCTCTGTTTCTGATCTAGTGGGTAAAGGTGGTCATTAGAGAGCAGCTCAGTGATTCTGGTTCAAGCTAAACAATGTTCTACCAGATCTTTTATCAGAGCCTCATTTCAGTCAGCAGTTCTGCAAGATGCATCACTGGAACTGAAGTCTGGACAAACTTATTGAATAATGAGAGTTTAAACTGCAGGTCAGTGAACAGGGGCAGAAGGCTAAAGGTTAAATTCCCTCTCTGTGTCTGTTTCTCTCTACATATGAGTCTGTAGGTGATTACAGAGAGTTAGAGCTCCCCCTACAGGCCAAACAGTGGTACTCTTCTCTGTTCTCTGTTGGAAGATTTGCGCTGTATATTACAGATCAGTGGTTTTGGTCCAGACCTGAGGACCAGCTGCCCTGTTCATTTTCATTTGTTCTCTGTCCACAGTGCACCTGATTTAGCTCATAAAGAGCTTCATAATTACCTGAGGAGCAGGAATGACTGTGTTGATTTGTGTCAGGCTGCTACTGCTGGACTTCCAAAGAAAATATAGAAAGACTATTTTCACTTTTATGGACCTGCATATTTCTTCTTACGTATTTCTGTTTATCTTATCAGTTATGTATCTCTGCATCTACTCTTCTTTTAATTTGTACGTAGCACTGAATGTTATTGTATTGTAAAATGTAATAAAAGAGAATAAAATCAATCAATCAGTGTCTTATGTGAAGTACACTGGTGTAGATTATTAAAAATAATATAATGCAGTATTAGCAATAATAGGAGGCTGACTTGGTGCCACAGTCAGAACAATGATACAGATCAAAATACTCTACACATTTGAAATAAAAAGTATGGACACAAAAACTGACTCTGACTCTTATCTAAAATAATCTTATCGTGTAATCTTTCTTGCAACAAGTTGTGAAATGTAGATGTGTAGTTACACAGTGTAATTTCCTGCTTAAATATACATTATTTTTATTCTATGAACCACTTAAACACTCTCTGTTCATCAGTTACTTAGTTGTGGTCACATTGTTTCTTACACCATAATAAGGTCACTGTAAAATAGTGTTACTCAAAACTCTTCCCCTAGATGTCTGTATAGGTCTAAGGTTTGTGGTATGTAGTTGTGTCAAGGTGAAAGTGCTGTCCGAGTTGCTGTTCTCAGATTCTTTTACAGTCAGTAAATCTATTTGTTTCATTCAGCAAAATTTCCTTCGAGTCTCTTTAATAATCATGTAATTACACATTAACAATACATGCAATGACAGTGTACCTACTGGTGATGTATTCACTGTTGATGGATTACAGCACTACATCTTAAGTAAATACACAGGGGTATCAACTTCAGATGTATCATCATAGATGCAGCAGCAAATTCTCTCTAAAGTAATTTCACATGTGAAAAAGAGTGAGAATAATTTCATTTCCATGAACTTCTCTTTTTCTATTTGTAACAGAAGTGTGTAATTCTAAGAGGAGATGGTAAGCTTCCTAACATTTAGCTAGATGTAGTAAACTTGTGTTCTAGCTCAGCAAACTAATCAAATGTTGAACCATTCTGTATTTTGATGGTATTAACTCAGAAACAGCACAAATCTTGAAAAGTAATGATTTATAATAAATGTACATGATTCATGTAAATAATGCATAGTAATTATGCCACATTGTACTACCCCAAAAGCAATGTCTGGATGACCAATAGTGGAACCTGGTGCATGTGAAGAGAATAATAAGAATAACTTTTCAAATGTAAGCATATCTGTATGAGTAGCTGATAAACAATTTTCCTATTGGACTTATATGAAATGCTGAGATCTAAAAAACATTCTGATATGTATGTTGTGTATCAGCTCTCATACTCAGTATGTTAAGCTCAGAATGTGTCAGCTGGCAGCTTTGTGTTCTCTCACCACATTCGCATGCTGAATGGAGCTGTTTAAAGCCAAACACTCATATTTACATTTCTGTATGTTTCGCTGATAAAGGCTGTAATAATATTCAGATTTCTAATATTATTCCATAAACCAAAAAGTAACTTTCTGCAGATGTAACAGACACTATTGTTTTATCAGGATTAACTTTAGCTGACACAGGAATTAATGTGTAAGAAACATAAAATTATCAAATGAAACACCACTTGAATTAAAAATAATCATATGATGTAAAG